TTTGACCTGGCAATCGGAGCGATGACCTTTGTTGTCCAAGATTTGAACACGTCCAATCGGTTGGTTGTCGGCTCATCCCCCGGCTGAGGCAAGCCTTCTAAGAAATGTACAACACTGACTCGCAGGTACTCACAGAACCCCTTGGGCCGTGGGAAAGGCATGGTCTTTGTTGAAACTCCTCCTTTTTGAGGCGAACAAAACACATGTGTCCATTGCTAGATAAACTATGTGGGAGTTTGCTTAGGGTGACTTCTTGTTTCTTTTTCCGTATGAGTGAATTCCCTTCTGAGGAAGGTGTTTACTTGTTTCCGATTCCTGGACGGCAAATCAAACGAATGGTGTAATAGAAACAGGTTGGAAAAACATATGAACAAATACTGTAACAGGTTGGAAACACACACCTGATGAACGATCGAGGCAGTTGGTGCCCAACGACTGAATCGAAGCGGATAGAAGGTTGAACCGAATGAACCACCTGTCACCCGGCTACCGAAGAAATTGCCCGAACGAAAAGCGCCGAACGGAAGGTTTCTGCTTGAATGAAGTACAGTTTCAATGGAAAGTCATGGAACATCTCATCAACTGTCACTTGGATTCCAGTTGGACTTTTCTTGCACTTTCCGTGGAATCGCGTTGCAACACCTTCTCAAGTGGACGAGGTGAGGCTTCGCTTCTCACCGTGGGCCGATGGCATCGTCGTCCGAGGTGAGCGCCACGAGCCTTGTGGAGGTGAAGATTCACCATTGGGATCGGTGGGTAGGACATGCATGGCAGTCGAGGCGTTCGCATGAGGCAGCATTGGCATCAGTGCCAACAGCGTTAGAACCAAAAGAAGATGACCAACAGCGGTCCTCACATACAGACTCTAGACAATCATACAGAGTTATATATAATATACATTTGGTCATTAGATGTCATTGGCATTCAATTGTCTTGTGCAGTCAAGGGAAGCCGACTCATCCAAGCTCTTGATGGGCTTAAAACTCTACAGAGTAAGAAAAGTAAGAATAAACAATAGTGACAACTTATAGTAGTTTCTGCACAAAGACAATGTTTCCAAGGGCCGCTCAGTTGTTTTTTTCTCCAAAAGTGTCTTGGAGCGGACGATACCGTTTCCACGTACCACTTCGTTATTTTTCAGGAGATAAGTTATTTTCCAGTTCCTAACATAGCACACGTATCACTGGGTCAGAGGCAGCTCATCCAAACGCTTTTGTAGATTCCTATGTCAGGAACTTGGGATGTTTGGGGGAGGCTACTGTGTTCTCAGAATCACTGATGTTCAACTCGTGTTCCGCTCTTCAGGTTTGCGGCTGCTGGTGAAGGACCAAGATGCGCTGCCCAGGGAAGCCGTTGTCCCGCAGCCCAGTCGCGCCCGTGGAGTGGTGGATGGTAGATGTGCAGCGAACGGAGACTCCAGTTTGGTCTCTCCCCAAACAAATGCCCATACAAAAAGCTTAAACAGGATGTATGTAAAGATACTGGAAAAAAATCAATCATTTATATTGACAAAGCTTCGAAGCTTTGAGGGCACTTTGGAAATTATGTTCCTTTATTCAAGCACGTTGGGGGCTGTTGAGTGAATTCACAAAGACATGATTTACCCGGGTGTTTCACTTCTGTTTTTTCGCGAAACGGACCGCATGGTGTCGTTCCACTAGTAATTACATTGGGTGTGATCATGTTCGATCATGTTGATATGGTATGATATGATTTATTTGGTTTTAGTGACATCAAAACGAACAAACATGTATTCTGTGATACGCATCGCATGGTTTCATGATGTTTTATGATATTATCTTGGCAATGTCTGGTGTATCTCATTTGAGTTTTCGCTCACTGCGCAGCGTCGACTGCTTGTTTGCCGATATACACCCTGTCGTGTTCACCGAACATGGTGGATGACAACAAGGGGAACTGGGTCCACAAAGAGTCGTCGTCTCGGTGCTGAGTCTCGCCGATGGCGTGCGTCTTCTTTCTTCCGGGTTTTTCGGTGTACCATTTTCATCGTGGACTCGGACATAGTAAGGCCAGTGTGTTCCTCGGTTTTGACAAAACAAAACAAAACGCAGTCAGGCTCAATAAGAGCACTGCGTGGAGGAGATGCCCAGGCATTTTGACGTCAATTGAAGATGCGGCCAGTCAATCTATTGATCATAGAAAAGAATATCGATAGGTCCTCTAAAATGATTGAAGTCCTAGTATGCCAGTGCATCTTTTGGACCTCCAATCACTAAAACTAAGTGGCTTTGACACATGGGCAAAACCTCGAGGTGGGTTACCTCGACGACTTTTCCGGCAGCGTCCTCGGCTGGGAAGAGGAGATCTTGTCATCGTGTGCTGGGTTTGGGGTGGGTGTCCTAGCTGCTAGCTGGATACTGTATCCATATATAATGACTGCATGTATATACAGAGTCCAGTAAGGACACACCAAACGGAGGGTCCGCGGTATGTTCAAACAACTCGAGTCCGCAAGCTACAGCGAAACTGGATAGCCTGGAGACCACCTTTGCAGTTTTTGTGACGTCAAGTGATCATAGTCAGCTTGAGGAGCTGGAGGAAGGCGGAGGAAGGATTGCGAAACCCCCGCACGTTGTGGACCATGGAGTCGAATAGCTTTGAGCGTGAGCTGGGATGCCCTTGGGATATCTGGGATGCCCTTGGTGCAATGTTTCGCTTCCAAGAGTTCGAGAGCCGAACTGGCATGTCTCACTGGTCCCAGGTGTTTCAAGGCCTTTCCACATCATTTGCTACGTCCAATCCTAAATCGTTCCAATGATGGCAGCATTCTTCGTCCACCTGCCGGACTTTCAGGAGTCCTGGAAAGAAGAGATCCTTGGATCGAAAGGACCACGACCACGGTGTCAACATTTCGCCGGGTTCGGGTGCGATGCGAGGTGCAAGAACTGCGATTGAAGACCATAAGGCCAGGGAACAGTTTCTATCATAGACCATTTTGGTGGATTTGACCATGAACATCTTCTCCCTTCTTTCAGACACTAAATGTGTTTTGGGGAGATGCAGCTGCATGTTTACTTTTCCAGTTGGGCTAGTGGGAGTACGACTGAGACCACTGAGTACCACTGGTTTCCGGTCAAAAACCATATCACCTCACAACAGCGCACGGCGCACACCACAAATTGGAAGATGAGGACTTCTTCACCAGCCGCTCGTTGCGATACTCCGAAAAGGATTGGACCACTCTTTAGACTTCATGCTCTTGCTTGAAAGATCTTGAAAGAGGCGACGCGCGTTCGGTCCTTGCGTTCCTTTCGTTTCGTTGGCTTCGCGCGATCCTCGGGGTCCTTGAAGTGACCCGAGGCCTTGGTATCAGCGGCAGCTGTCCTCGTTGCCACCCATGGTCTTTGCGCGCAAGGAGCGCCCCTGGTGACAAGGAGATCATGTCCGCCTTCGGTCAGGTGTGGGGGAGTGGGGGTGCATCCCTCATGGTGCAGATGAAGGATGCACCATCAAGGAGTTCGCCAGTGCAGCTAGACTCGCTAGACTCAAAGGCTTTTTAACTCCTTGGCTTGTTGTTCTTTTTGCCCTGGTTTTGAAGACTTCAGAGCATATAGATGCTTTTTGGATGAAGTGTTGGACATGGCAAGTATATAGATGCTTTTTGGATGAAGTGTTGGACATGGCAGTTGGGGGTGCCAGGGACTCAATCATGTTCTGAGAATTGTCCAAAAAGGTCGGTTGATCATGTTGTTTCTCATGCTGGCAGGTTGGTTTGTTGTGTGAAACCATGTGACACCTTGTGAAACATTGTGGAACCATAAAATTATGAAACCGTGGATTTGATTCTTAGAGGAAGTGTTTGTTTTAGATTGTTTTAGCGAGCCTCCCCTAGAGTTGGCTATTTGGGGCAGAGTATTTGCAGCCAGGCTTCGTAGTGTGGATGGCCAATTTGCAGCAGCGATGTGTTAACCAGCGACCACCCTCCTGCTTCTGACATAGCAACCACCTGAAACGAACGTCATCATCACCTTTCACAAATGCTGGCAAGTGAGTTGCTGCTTTAGTTTGAGGGTGTCTATGTTTAAAAATCATATGCATCCACATTGCTCTTAACCGAAAACCCGAGGCTCGATTTACTGTACTGTATATAGATGCCCCAAAAGGTGTTGCAAGGTCGCTGATTCTGCCTGTCATGAGGTTTCGACCCGCAAAAAAGAAAGCGTTTTGAAGGGTTTGCGTGGAAGATCTATTGGACGAATCAACAGGAGCGTGCCTGTTACTAGTCCTGTTACTCTATTCTATGAATATTCGGAGTTTTTCCAGTACCAAGACTGGCCGTCTGAACTTTGGCAGCTTCTGGGCCACAGGTGATGTTCAAAGACAGATGCAGTCGATCTTTGTTCGGATGCAAACTGGTTCCTCCAGATGAGGACCGTCCTTTTTGCCTTTGCACTCCAGGACCGTTTGGCTCTCTGGCGGCTTTCCACGCCCTCCATGGGTGGACCAAGCTAGCTCACCCGTCGCCCGTGAGTGTTTGGAGGAAAAGGGTGGCGACCTGTCTGGCCAGGAGTGGCAGAGCAGCTGTTCAGTACAGGCGTTCTTCCAAGTCAAGAGTTTGAGACTCTCATCCCTCCAACTCAAAGTCGCAAAGAACATACCCTCCCTCATAATCCCTCCAACAAACGTGGAAATGGATGGCATGGCCGCTGGCTGGAAAGACCATGAAAGATCATGAAATCAAGCAAGAAGCGCAAGAAGCTACTAGTAATAAGGGCATCGCTACTAGTAGCTTCTTGCTACTAGTAGTAAATGCCAGGAGCTACTAGTAGCTTCTTGTTCCTAGTAGCGATGCACTTGCTACTAGAGTGCGGGTCCGGGTTCTTTGCCAAGTAAAAGAGTTGAACACTGAAAACCACTCCATCGGTAACCCCGGGGTGCCTAATCCAACAAGGTCTCCAGAGACCTCCAGGCTGACTGGGAGACTCGGAAGCCCCAAAACGGCGAGCTGCAGGGTCCAGTGTTCACGAAAACCCGCGCAGGTCTGCTGCCTTGGCTGCTTGTCTTTGGTGCCGGGCTTTTTGCGGCGAGTGGTGAATGGGGTGGGGCGCCCCAGGCCAAAAGCCGCTCGAAAATCCACCCGTTGGCGGTGAGCATCGTGGGTTGGAGGTTTATGAGCCTTGACATAGGCCATGGAGGGAACGGTGTTCAGCACCTTGGTCAGGCGAAAGCCAGATTGATGTCCCTCAAAGATAGAGCTCACCGTTATATTACTATGTATATACCCTAGCCTTCAAGCGCTAAGTTTTACTTCGGCTTTGTGCTCAGATTCGAAAGGACAAGTTAAACTTGTCCTCGGCGTGAAGACGCGTGAATGGGTCATGTGTACATCATGCAACAAAAACACATGTTCATGAACATGATGTTCAATCCAATAATCAACAATTTGATCGAAATACATTTGTGATTTCATTTCTGTCGCAGCCATGCGTTTGCGTGGGAGCGTACCGTGGATCGATGAAGAAGGCCCTTGAGAAAAGTCGGGGCCCCTGGCAGTTCCAGAGTTCACTAAATTATTGGTATCATCGATGTCTGTGGATCTGATGACTTGTACCTCAGGGAAACGGGAACTACGACCCGACGGTGCCTCCTGCCTTGCTCAGAACATGTATTTTGAGTTATAGTGTTCACGTAGTTCAACCATTGCTTTCGCTTCTGCCACCCAGCTCAGACTTGAAGGGGAAATGTTGAACTCTGCATGGCACTCAATTTCCCATGTCCCAGGCCACGGGAGTTCTCACACATCAGTTTTTTTCCGCACGGCTCGCGTTGGGGATCTTCGCAATGCCGGTGTCAAAGCCTGACGGGATGAGGATCAATCTCTTGAAGGATCCCTTCTGTGAATCATGTGTGTACGTGTTGCATGTGTACATCATTGTACATCGGTTCACTGCCAGGACTTCTACAGTGAGCTGCTCCAGGGTGACTATAGGGAAACACGATTCCTAGAATTGGGGAAGCAAGCCGGCATGTCAGAAAAAACTTTGGATCGACAACTCTCCGCTGGCAAGGTTTCACCGGCTAGCTTCACTTAGGGTAGACTGGACTTAATGATTTCAATATGTGTTTGCCAGGTACCACTCGCGTTTTCGTTTGTGGATGTGGACGAAAACAAGGGCATGAACGAGAAAATGGTGCACCTGGCATTGGTTTTATTCAGAACCAAGTTTATCTGACCAACCTGATTGATGTGCCAGATGACCACTCCACGAAACAGCGAGTTCTTGAAGAGTTGGTTGCCTCTCTTTGCATTGAACACTCCTACAGAAAAGGAAACTAAGGCGCCACTGGTATGCATGGGCTTGGCTGTGTGAAAGCAAACGATTAACATGTAATTGAATGCAAATCAACAGGTTGCCTTGGTGGACATTGGAAGAGCTCACTTACTGGCCGAAACCAAAGACTTGGAGGGGCTTTAACTCGTTGGGTCATGTTGGGTTAACGTTCGTCTCAATATTTTTGTTGTTCAGGAGTGGGCTGAAAAGGAGGGCAACCTCCACCGGTTGTTGGCTTCAAAGGTGTTGGTTCGCTGGCACCGGACGGCACAAGCCAGGCCCGCATGTGTGTTTCAAATATGTTCAAAGCTAGTTTTCTGTGTTCAAAGCAATTTCGATTGTTTAGCTTGTTGAGGAGGAAGGGAACTCCAATGGACAAGCTCAAGACTTTGATTTCTATGATCTTCAAGGATTTGGATTGCAACACGTTGTACACAATCTCAATGTTCTTATTTAACTATCCGGCAGGATGCGGGGGTTTCAAGGCGCACGAGATCTATCCGCAAACACCTGAAAGTCGAGGCCTGTCCATGATCCATCTAGATCCAGTTGTCGATAACCACACTGTTGATTAGGGCATTCTATGGCTAGACTGAAAGCCAGGAAACTACGAAGACAACAACTGAAGACACCAACACAGCACAAAATGGTGAAACGGAGGAGGATGAGGAGAGCGATGCTGAGTTGTTGATAGAAGAAGAAGAGGAGGAAGAAGACTTTGAGGATGACAAAGAGGTCGATGAAGCTGAACAGAACGATACTCGGAAGGTCTTGCAGAATGCTGATCTGAAGAAACCTGATGAATGCCAAGACCAAGACCAAGAAAAAAAGCGATACGAGGAGGCAATACTTGCTGTTCAGGCAGCAACAGATAGAACGCACGCACTAGAGGCGGAACTGGCAAGGCGAGAGATGGAAGCAAAGGAGATTAAAGCCAAAATTGAGGAAGAAACAAAGAAGAAGATACTTGAAGACATGAAGATCCACGAGAAAGAGTTCCGGCTTAAGCTTGCAGAAGAACAGAAACGCGCGAAGGAACAGGAAGAAGCAGAAGCGAGGTTGAAGGAGGCTGCAGAGGCGCAAAGGAAGGA